TGTGAGGGGCGTAACATTTCCGTCTCACGCTTGAGGTATTCGGCCAATCACAACACAGTGGATAGCTGGCCAATCAGAGCACACCTCGCTTTTCAGACCGATGAGCTTTGTAAAAATCGACGCGTTTCAGAAAGGCGGGGCATAGAGGAGAAACAATAATGTACAGTATGTGGAAAATAATGTGTTTTTTGAACTTTAAACCGCATAAACACATTTCATTACACCAAATACACAAAATAATGTTCTTTTTAGCAGCATCATATGACCCCTTTAAACACTTAAGTACACTTCGTTTAACTAGTACATTTTAAATCAATATGTTGTAACAATCTTTTGTCATTTGCATGTTAAGCAAACTTATTTTGATGTGTTGACTAACATACTAAAGCACGTTTAAAGTACTGGATTATAATTTTAACTGTATTATTCAATATTACATTTTAAATGTACTTAATGACAGCTTCATCATTACAAATGTGTAATTACAAATATATTTAAAAACATGACAAGTTTCAATAGAAATGACATTATATTTTAGTTTTTCATACAGTATATGATTGTCAGTACATTATGCAGTGCACTTATTTCAAAGACAATAGAAGTAAATATGAAATTACATATGCAAACATATTTCAAAGACAGAAGTAATTATGAAATTACATATAAAGATGTACATCCTACTTAAGTGGGTTAAAAACACTAAAATTCAACTAATTGCATTTAAAATCAATTTCAGTTATAATATATTTTCATTTTCATGCAAGTGTCTGAAACATTACATTTATTATATTCCATTTGCACTCAAGTATGTTCTTTTAAAGTACAGTATATTATTTGCATACTAATTTTTTTTTGAAGTATGTACTCTTTTTTTTTTTTAAATGAAGTGTACTTCTTTTCCTCAAGGGCAAAAAATTAGATACAGACAGTTCATGTATGGAAGAAACACATTTTTGGAGAGAGGAAGAGACTTGACTCCTGTCATGGACGTGTAAACCTGGCAAGCTTTGATTATAAGCACAAGGAAAAAAAGCCTTGTACTTTCTCATTCTGAATCTTGAATGAATACTGATGAAGGTGATGCTAATGGAGATGTCTGACCTTGCTGGGTTTGTTAAAGAGACAGGATCCTCCTCCCTTCAACAGGAACTCTTTAAAATCGGTGATACTGCACTTAGAGAAAGTCCGCGGGTGTTGGACCCTGAGAAGAGAGACAAATGCAGGGACAAAGCTTTCACAGCTGATGTAAAGAAGCCAAAGTTCACACTTTCAATGTTTGTCTCTATTTCTGTCTATTCTCTATTCCACTGACAGACCCACTGAGACGCGTAATATTTAAAATTCTCATTATATTAATAAGAAATAACTACACTGTGTGCATACGATGATAATTTGATATCACACACATGCACACAATCTATAAAACACACAGTGTGTATCAGCAGGTGTGCTGATGTTAATTAATTCTTAAATTCTATTGTGTGTTTTGATGCTGTTGTTTGTGTGTAGTAAGTGATGATGTTTATAGGTGGCCACGTAGTGATGTCAAAACTGAACACACACACACACATACACATACACATACAGGAGTCATAATGATAGTATACGTTATATAGACTTGTCATTGTCAATCCCTATATATCACTAAATGTATGTGTGGATCATCTTACCCAGTGTCCTCCATGATACAGCCCAGCCAGGAGTTCATGCACCCACAATCCTCTGAGAATAACAGAACACACACACACACACACACATACAATCAATCAGTCATTTCTTAATATTTTATGTATGTCAGTATCAACGTAGTTACATAAGCAAGACTTTTAAATGAGTGTGTACTTCTCTTTAATGCTGAATCCCATTGAATACCAAGATTCTGAGCCAAACTCTGGGCCAGCAGTGGTGCCATCGTCCACGTAGAGCCAAACTGCACACACACACACACACACACACACACACACACACACACACACACACACACACACACACACACGTTGTGT